TAGTGCCACATCCCTCAGGATCCCTTAGTGCCACATCCCTCAGGATCCCTTAGTGCCACATCCCTCAGGAGCTGCTGGCCCTTGGTGTTCCCTGGGACACGAGCTCTGGAGTTCAGCAGTAGGGGCAGGACCACGGGGCCTCTCTGGCACGAGGAATTGTCTGGCTGCTTCTGCTTTGAAAGCCCCCAGCAAGGTACAGGCATGAGGGTGTTTTTCTGAACTGGAATTACCTCCCTGTGGCAGGCAGGGAACCACTGGTAGCATTATTCGTTGGGGGTGTTGTGTTCCAGCCTTACCCAGCAACTTGTGTTTTGCTGTGGATAATTAGGCTGACCTGCCAAATGTGTGGAATTTGAGATGCTGAGGTGTATTTAATGAAAAAAACCATCCTAAATAGTGCCTTAGAAGCTGAGCACAGAGGAAGGTAGTTGAAAGGGGTAATGTGTCCCAGTTTCTGCAGTTTGTGTTGACCTAAAATCCTTAATGATGGAGTCTAAAAACAGATAACAAAATCTTTGCATCTTTTCTACATTAATGTAGCTTGTGACAATTCCACGTTAGCGATGTAGAGAAAGTACTGGGTTAGGAGATCAAAGCACCATCTCCTGAAGCTAATTCAGGGAGTAAGCTGGGTGATAGCTGTCCTCTTCCCTCTCTGCATTCCTTCGTGGCTCCCACAGAAAGAGGGAACATGCAGAAGATGCAGTCTGGTTACTTCTCTGTGCTGGGAGAGATCTGCCTTGAACTTGGCAAGCTTTTAGGCTTTCTCATGCTTAGGACAGTCTCTTGCTAGCAATGGTTTTCTCTTGTAGGAATGCAGATCTCTACCATAACTCCCTCATTCTTCGTTTTAGAAGCAACCAGAGGATTAAAAACTAATGCAGTGCTTATTTGAAGTCAATATACTCTAGTTTGCAATTTGCTCATGTGTAAGTGTCCAGCTTTTAAGGTTTCCTTTGCCCACAGGCAGTCTCTGAATACAAAGGCAGACTATTTTTATTTTCTTTAATAAAGTATTGCAAAGGTTCAAAGAGCAAAATATTTCTTTCCACTTTCCATCTCCTTCAGAGTTTGCCTCTGAAAAGTCTTGAGGGGAAGGAAGAGCTGTGGCACTTCAAGTGCAGCTGGAAATGAAGCTGGTGGATGAGATGTGTGGATGTACCTGTGTGAGAGGAGTGGGAAGGGCCCACCTTGGAGCAGTTCTGGCATTCCATGGGGAGTTGTACAGGGACAGGGTGTGATGGAAAAACCCTCTCTCCGTGTAACTGGTTTGTTTCTTTGTTCTTGGCAAGGCTGGGTTGTGTGGAGGTCAATGGAAGCTCTGCTGTGTTGCAGTATTTGTGTACATTACTCTCTTTAGAGGAAAGCTTCACTGTGGGGTGGGAAAAAGGGAGCTGCAGTCAAAATACAGCACCTTCTAGAAAAACCTGGAGAGTAATGTATTTATCCCTGGAGCTAGTTCCCTTCTGAAGCTGTGGGCAGAAGACACAATGTGACGTCTGAACCCTACCACAAAGGATTCAGCATGTATCATAACTTATTTGCTGTTGATTAAATATTGCAGACTGGAAGGAGTGATTTTCTTTAGGACTTCAGAAGCCTTATTCTCGTTGATTGATTCTTTTCCCTGAGTTACTCTGTGGTTTCAATAGAAATGGAAGTAGTGCCTGCTCATATCACCTCTGGTGATCTGTTCATTACCTTGGAAGGCTGTCCAGGTTGCATTTTGACTGAGATGATTGCTGGAGGCTCCTTGTCATGGTCTGGGTTAATATTATTGCTTACCTGAAAATGAAAGCAGCTTCCTTACTGAAGTCCAGGTTCCAGAAGGTCAGAATACAGCTGTAAATGAAGGAAAACTGAAGAGGCATATCTCAGCTTGTTTAAAAGGAAATTATATATCATGGAAGAAATAAATGTGGAGCTTAATGGGACCTCAGTGCCCAGTTCCTGCTCAGCAGCATAAGGTCATTGGGGGCCTGTCCAAAACATGGCCCAGCAGAAGGGTCAGTCTGAAGATGATAGCTCAGATGATGAAATGCAGCTTTTCTGAGTAAAATTGTATGAAATACTGTGTAGTTCCCTGGTGATGAAACTGCTCACATGTGGAGAATATTTAAACCTTTAGGTAATTAGGCTCAGCTCATGCATGGCAACAGTTTCATCCCAACCATTTTATTTTCCTGTGATGTGAAGTATATACTGGATTTGTCCATAGTGTTCTCTTTGGGGAGGGTGTGTTCACTTGGCAGTTTAGAGCTTCGTGTCATTATGTTTTGGTTTTAAAATATATATATATATATAAAGGTATTTGTGTGTGTATGTGTGTGTATATATAGTCCTTAATAAAGGATGTTCTTTGAGTGCCTTTTTGACAGGATGTGCCAAGAGAAGCCCAGCTTTGGCTTTAAGGCCTGTGTAGCCAGATCCCTTCGGGGTTCTACTGAAATGAACAGTCTGTCATTTCATTTTACATGGCTGAGGATTCATAATGCTGGGGAAAAGTCTGACTTCTCAGTGTGTAAGCTGGTTCTTTATTGGCCTCTTGCTGTGGAGCTTCTGAAATGTGTTCATCTTCCAAAGGGAACTTCTGTGATTTCTGTGCTGGAACTGCATGAGGAACAGGTTCAGATGTTGGTGCTGCCAAGCAGCAGAGTGTTCTCTCTGGGCAGCAGCCCTGCAAGAACCTGCCTTTGATCTGCTTTCTTTCTGTTTAGTTTTCGTTATGTTGTCTATCTGTTATAAATTTTAAATAAGTTTATAACCAGTTAGCCCTTATGGACTTAGCAAAGATGTGGGAAGGGAAGCATTTCACGGAATTCAGCTGTTAATCTCCAGCCATCCATTTCTTTTTGGGAAGGGTGTCCATTTAATTGTAGGTGTTGATGTTTTATAGCCTTCTCTAGTCTGCAGCTGAGTGTACTTTTTTATCAAATGGAAAGAAACTTTTAATGGTGTGTAAAATTAACTGCTCTGAAAGCAGAACTGAATGAATGTTTTTACAGACCAAAATTCCACTCCTCCTATGCTGGGCATCGAAGAGAAGGCTTAAAGAGTGTTTGAGTGTAAGGCAGTGGTCTGCTGCCTGTAAATATGAAGTATTTGATAGATGCTTCTCATTATTTGTTTGCTGCACTGAACCCAGTCATACCAGCACAGTTGCAGAATGCTTCCCTGGGACAGTAAATACTCCTTTCTCTGAATCTGTTACTTGCAAGTTTTTGGGTAAAATGTGTTTTTTCAGTTGAGGAATCTGAAATAAGTAGAATAGTTACACCATGACGGTAGAAGTGAAAATTTCAATTTTTTTTTTTTTACCTACTTCTTTAGGAACAAAGCCCCAGTAACCAGACCTCGATAGCAATGATGCAAGAGCCTCAAGAAATGGTGGAAGAGACAGTTACTGTGGAGGAAGACCCAGGCACTCCCACCTCCCACGTGTCTATTGTCACTTCAGAGGATGGAACCACAAGGAGAACAGAAACCAAGGTGAGGGGTTAATAAGCAGGGTGGAGAATGGCAGAATGCCACCTAATCATGAGACAGAAATAGCAGGGAGCAGCCTGAGTGCTGACAGTCATGCTGTTGGGATCCTCAGGGATTTCAAAGTGGTGTTTGCCAGCACAGCTCAGTTCAGGGCTTTCTCGGTTCCCCCTCTGTGTCCAGCTCACTCCTTATCAGCTCTGCTGATGCAGCTCTCATGGAGCTGTGAACTGAGAGGAGAAATTATCCAGGTTAACCAAACAAAAACACTAGAACCCCTTCTCAGGCTGTTTATTCTTTTAAGATTCACTTTATTTTACTGAAGCAGCTCACAGCATTCCCTGCAAACACACGCAGTGATGGGAGAATGAGATGGTTTGGTAGGGCTTGGCTGAGGAAAATGTGCTTGGAAATGTGTCTTAGATAAGTGGTGATCTGTAATATCAGTATGTGATTGTGCATTTGTCCTTTAGAGCAAGAAACAGCCTGTGTAAATAACACCATAGAATTTAAATTCCACACCAATTTTGTGAATGGCATTTTCCTCCTGGTGCACTGGGAAAGCTGGGTGTGCTCCCAAGTGACCTGTACCTCAGGTCTGACTGGATTACAGGTGTTGCATATGTTCTAATTTTCTTGATCTGGTTTTGTTCCTTGTGTGAGGTAATTTTGCAGTCTCTGTTGAGCAGGTGCTGTGTGTTCAGAGCTGCCTTGTGTGCTTTTAGTACAACTGGAACATTACAGAGATTAAGGGTGATTCCCTTTTTAAAAACTTCTAGACAAGATTGATTAAAACTAAAAAAAGGAATTGTCCAACTGCTTTCTGTGTTAATAGGAGTTGAACAGAGGTCACTGCATAAATCAGTGTTTATTTTTACTGGTGTTCCAGAATTGCAGTCCTCTAAGAGACCTATTCAGGACATCAGAGCCTCAGGTTGAAGTAAATGATCATTGATTTCCTGAGGTCAGGTAGACCTGTACACATGATAATAAACTGAGTATCTGGTTTAATATTTGTTACAGTTAGTTAGAAGGTAAATATAACTGGCCTGTTTTCTCATTGTTGGAAGGAGATATGAAGCTCTTTAAATAAAAATGAAATGGACAAACAGTAAGACCCTACATTTTCATTAGCTCTTCAAATAATGTAATGTCTGTAGTTTTGTGACTTAGTGGAAGAAATGCTGGTTTCTTCCTAGTGGCAGCAACAACAACTGTTATTTACAGGAAGGAAGTGACAAAATTACAGTGGTGATGGACACCTTTTTATATGTACTAATAGTAGCACATAGTTTTAGGAGGCTCTAAGTGCTGCTATGCAAGGGAATAAAATTATAGCTCCAGCTGTAAAAACAGAGGTGAGGCCATGCAGTGGCCCCGGATAACGGGACCACAGGGAGTGAAGCAGTTTGTCTGAAATAGAGGTGCCTCTGATAGAGCTGCGTGTCTGCCACGGCACAGAAGGGGCAATTCTCTCCTATGTGTCAGGTACCTTCTGTTTTCCCATCTTCCCACAGAAAATGACAGTGGCAGCTTCAAAATATGGCATTGTATCTGCATATGGGAAAGGAAAATGGGAAAACCAGCAACCCTGGAGCTCCTGTTCTATCTCAGAGAGCGAGACTTCCTCCTGTTCCTGCAGGTCACTGAGGCACTGACCTGTGTCCAGGACAGGGGGAGGCTGCACAGCCCCCTTACTCTGCATTTGTGGTGCTTCCAATAGTGCCACTGACTCATGTACTGCCCAGAACTGTTCCCCAGTAATTCATTGCTAAAAAGACCACCAAAAAAAAAAAAAAGTAGAAATGCAGTTGTTGAGCAAAGTGATTGTGAAATGTCCAAACACAGGCAGGGCTGGCTCAGCCCTGACTGTCACGAGAGGGGCTGAGGCTCTGCTGGGCTGGTTGTTGCCTCTGAAATGGCTTTGTTTTGACTCTTCCTTGCTGTGATAAAATGGCACAGGTTTAACAGCTCTTAGATATGAATCTAAGATTTTATAATTTTTTTCCATCACACTGATCTTCAGATTGCATTTTGTTTTGGTAGGGACTGTGGAAATGAAAACTGTTGTCACTGGGGCATAGTAGCATCAATTAATTGTCCTGTAGTTAATTGGCATCAACACTGTCATCTCTAATAGATACCATCATAGTGCTTTCATAGGTCATACTGTTACGTGAGAGCATTACAGAGAAAATGAAGTGTTCTGGTAGCTCTGTGCAGTGGCGAAATTCTGACTGCTCAGGTGAGGGTGGTGCAGAAAAGCCTCTCCCTGGGATGGGAGCTGCAAACACGTGGCCACTGGGCATCTACAGGAGGATCTTTGTTGAGCTCAAAAACTGCAGTTCTGTGTCTCTGCCTGTTCCCCCACAGATTTAAAAAAAACTTTTAAAAACCACAAAAAGCTAAAATAATTTAAAAATCGACCTACAAATCAAACAAACAAAAAAACCCCCCACATGAATCTTGCCTTGCTTTTAGTGTGCAGGTGGAACTTGTCCTTGTAAAGGAGCAACATGTCTTATGGTGGGAATTGTCCCATCTCTTCTGCAGTAATATCCAGTCTGGCACTTAATAAGGGCAGTGTGTAAAGTTGAGGTGGTCACAGTCTGTTCAGGGAGATTAGGAGGGATTGGCCTGTGCTCAGCTTTTCTTTTTATTTTGAATGATAACCTTTCTATGCTCTACATTGCTGTTCTTGCTCTAGGCTTTTTTAAGGAAGGGTTTAGAACCTGTTTTTATTTAGCTGTAGCTGGAAGGCTCTCCTGGACAGTGTCAGTCACAATCTGCAGCATATCTCTCTTGCAAAGAAAGTGGCAGCATGAGATAATTCCTCTGTCAGAGTAAATAACACAGGTCATATTTTTTTTAAGAGCCAGAAAGACCAGAGATGTTTTCCAAATGTGTTCTTTCTTTGCTGGATAGTTTAAGTGGGGATTAGTCAACCTAATGCCATTTAGGATGCGGTTTTGGATTCTTCAAAAGGAAACTGTCACTTAATTTTGCTAAATTGTGTGAGTCTCCAGCTCGCTGGAGAGTGTTGCCTCTGAAATTCTTCCTGTTGAAATGCTGCACAGCAAAGGCTGTGAGCATGAAAGCTCCTGTGTGCTGCTGTTCTTTATTCCCTGCTCCTTCCCCCGTTGTTACAAACCCATCATTTATAGAGGTTATTCTTTTCAATAGTGTATTAAGTAAACAACCTTAATCTGGAGGCATTGACAGTTTTGCTGTGCTTTTCCCCACATCTTTGGAGATACCTGCAGCAGTGAAGCAGGAAGAAGGCGTAATAGAATTTAATATTTGACATATTTTAAATAGGGAACATCTACCTTTTCAAAATGAGGTACTTGTGAGTAATTTTCCCCTACCTGTTATTCTCATAGTATTATACTAAGTCCCTACGTAACATTCACTGCACAAAAGATGTAGCAGATAATACTTCATTTCAACTTTATAATATCTCTGGAAGCCAAATACCTATCAAGCTAAAGCAGTGAAAGTCACCTTGGGGAGAGACAAGCCCTTCTTGCTGCTGGCTGGAGCACTGCCAGGAGTTAAACGGAGCCTGTTGCAAGTGGCTCAAGAGAACTCAGTGAAGCAAATTAGACGTGTGTGTGCTTGTGTTAATGTTGGATTTTTTTCTTTCTTCAGGCACCTTTTATTTTTATCACTGACATGCTGAAAGGTTGGAGAGATTTAGGGCATTGATATTCATTGGAATTGATGTTTTGTCATAACAAAATGTGAAGTCCAGTCCATACAAACTTGTTTAATTTGTAGTCCATCCATTTTCCTCGTGCTTTCCGACACTCAGCAAGTCTGGATCTTCCCCAGCAGTGAAGAACTGCTGCTCCCACCTCCAGCACCTGCCCTGGGAATCCCCAAACCCCTGGGCTGTGGTGGTGCCCTGAAGGGCAGGGCTTTGGAACTCCAGTGGAAATTCAGAGCAGTTGGGTCAGAGAGCAGGAAGGGATTGCAGGCGAAGTTGAGGGCCCTTTCAAAATGTGAAATGTTAAGCTTAAAATTGAAGGGGAGAAATTTGAGCTGTTGTTTTGAAAACCTACTGGGTGAGTTCTTGCCCAGCATTTAATAGAAATGTAATAGCTTTGGTCTGATGAACTTTTACAGTCTCTGATTCAAAAAGAAGCTCTCAGAAATGCCACAGTGACATGTGATTCCTTCTCATCTGGTTTTTGGGTTATGACAGTTTCCACAAAATTTTTAACCCTATCAGCTTTTATAATGCACTTAACTGATTAAAAAAAATAAAGGCAAAACAAACCCAACCTCAACACCACAATGGAAGGCAGAATTGTAGGTGCTGGTTAAGATGACTGTGTTTGACCATGGTGGCCCAGTTCAGCTGAAATCTCTGTACTGTCTTTACTCCTCTGTGACTGAGCCCTGGGAGGGATCTACTTGTGCCATACGCATCCAGTAAATCCAGTTGCTGGATAGTTACATGTTTGTTCTGCCATCCTTCAAGGCAAATAGAAAGGTGAGGGACAGAAAAATACAGAAACTGCTTCAAATGTGTGAATATTCCTTTATGTTCTGTTGGCAAATGTATTTCCAGAAATAGAATTAGTGAAAACATTGTCATGGGACCTGTAAGGGGATTATTTAATAAAGTAATTGCTGTCTGAGGTTGAGGACAACGGTAAGGTCAGTAAACCTGAAGTGTGCTTAGATTCTGAGGGGGGGAAGCAGCAGTGAAAACACTGACTTGCAGGATTTGGGCTGCAGAGACCTGAATAATTAGGTAGATTGGAACTTTTTATACTGTGGTTGAAATCTTAATATCTTTACAGGGAATAAAAAATTACAAATATATTTTAAGCCTACTCTGAGAGGCTTTTCACAGGGAAGTACTCTGGAGCTTTCATCTGCTGCTCAGAGACTGTAGCTTTGAAACAATTGAGCATCTTTGATTTGTCATCAGGCTAAAAAACCCTTTTAAGCAGGTTTTCTTTAGAGATGGAAAGTAAATAGAGGAAGTCAAATTGCACTTTCTCAAAGTAACTTGTACCTCTAAATTTTTCATTAGAGCATATCTGTAGTGAGGAATTTATGCTAATAGATCTTTCTCAAGATTGGGTGCATCTGGAGGATTGGGTGTCACAGAGAACAGCCTGCTGGGACTCCCATTTGGAAGAGCTTCATTCTCTCTGGCTGATGCATCAATATTAAGGAAACCACAAAAATGTTGGGAGAGAAGGCTGCTATACTGTCAGCTTCTCCAGTCTGCCTGTGTTCTTAAAGAAACATAAATGAAACATTCCCTTGAGCAGAATTTCCTGAGATAACGATGTTTGGTTTGTTGGTTGGGTTTCTTTTTTTGCTTGGAAACCTAATAAATGGACCTTCCTCTGTATGCTGGCTAATTGCTTCCAAAAAGCCTCCCTTTATTGTCCTGTCAGCAAGGAAGTCTGTTTATCACATGATAAATCTTCTGTCTCGGTGCCTATCCCTGACAAATGAGGCATGAGTGCAAATACTCCCTGTCTCTCCAGATATGTCTCTGATTGCCCCTCCATAACACCTTTGGCATTACTGAGTGCTTTTGTGCTATGAGAAATGTGTACTTTAATGCTCGAGTGAAATGTTCCTTTTTATGTGTCTGACAAGGGGGTTTTGATTGTCCTGATTCTTTCTGTTTGCCAGTAGGTGCAGCTCCCAGAAAATAAGAGGTGAAGCTGTGCTAACGTTGTAAACTTGTTCTTACATGTGCTGCCTGACTCCAAGTGTGGCTTTTTGATTATCCACAGCCATTGAAAGCTTGTCTATGCTAGTCTTGAAGATGGGAAAAGAAGGCAAATTGGGAAAAAATTGCAAAGGAATCCCTTGGGTTATTTAAAATAGTAATAAAAGGAAAAAAAATCTATGTAAATACTCTGTAGAGTGCCAGAGCATGGTGAAAAACTCATTAAGTGTGAGTGGTAGGTCACACGTTGTCTAGGAATTGATTTTCAGTGACCTGAAATTCTTCTTTGTCTTTTTTGTATCCATGTACCCACTATTGGGGACATTGTCCTGGCCACAACATTCCTGTGCTGTGTTACCTCCTCCTGCTTGGCAAAAATGAGCCAAGCCTTTGTCCAAGGATCCTACAAGTCAAAGATGGTCCTTCTTCAGTGCTGTTGCTGCAGCCACATGAGGGGTATTAGAGACTAAGTATTGTCTGAGCTTAACAACTTCATGAAAAACTACACGTGACAAACTGTGCCAGCATGGCAACTTGTGTCCTGAAAACCAGGCCTGGAGTTCCATTTGTTGAGTGGTGCTGGAAGAAGGAGCTCTGGGGGGTTGTGTGAGGGCACTCCTTGGCATCACAAAGCTGCCTCCTTGTTCCCTTCTGGGAAAATATATCCATTTCTGATTCATCAGATTGTTGACGTGGTACCTCAATTCCTGCTATTCCCATTACTGGTTCCCAAATTCAAGCACACAAAGGCCCAGCACTTCTCGTCCAGCTTTGTCACGGCTTTGCAAAACTCACAAGTACCAGGCCTGAGAAATGTCACTTTTTCTGCCCTTAGAAGATCACTTATGAACTTACTTTGAATAAAACTGTTGTTTCAGACTCCAGCAGGAGAACACTGAGCTGTGCTGCTTTGTGTGTATCCTCTTTACAAAGAGCCACTGTGAGCTCCACCAGCTCTTTCTCTCTGCTCGGTGCTGGCTGGGCTGATAAATGCCCTGACAGTGCTCGCACTGATAACAGAGTGGAAAGGAGTGTTGTGCCCAGGTGACAAACAGAAACCCCTGCTGCATTCTGTGTCGTGACAGAAATGTTTAGTTTCTGGTTTCCTTTCTTCTTGTTATTAAAATTGTGCTTTTTAGAAAAGGGAGAGAAGATTGGGAGGCAGGGAAGAGGGCATCTTTCCTGGTGTTTTCTTGCTAAGGAAATCGGTGGGGTTGAAGAGGAGAGGAGCCCTTTCAGCTCTGGCTCACATCAGACACCAAGGTCATGTTGGTACCTGGCTGTGCTGTGTTCAGCACGTGATGCTGTTGATTATGCTGCTGCTGGAGAGCCATTTGTGCTGCTTTCAGCCTTGGAGGATTTCATTACTTCATTACCTTGAAGTATCATTTGCTCACAGATGTCTCTAGGAAAAGAAATGCTGTTTGGGTGAATTTTTTTTCTGTTTGGGGTTTCTGTGTGAAAACATCTGGCTAGAGGACATGTCTGGAGCCACTTCAAGAGATGTGCTCTAATTATTTTGTTTTGCAGCAGCTTGGCTTATCTGTTGCCAATCTAAATGTTTAAATTGGGGGCTATAGGTCAAAATATCTATTTGGACTTTAGAGCCATTGGGTGATCCAGGGTTGCATGTTATAGTTACCATTTCTCTTAATATACACATTTCATTCTGAGGCTTACAAGAAGAAAAGTGTGGTTGCTGATGCTTAGTTATATCTGTAATACTTAAGAAACCCAAAATATCTCTTAGTTTTCCTTTGTGCTCCTCCCCTGCTGTGTGTAACACTGTCGGGGGGGTTGATTCTGCTTCTCACCTTTGTGGGTGTGCTGTTTTGTTGCTTGATTGGGTTTTTTACTATGGGCTGAAAGCAGCATTTTCTAGGGTTAGGGTAACTTTTTATAGGTTAAAGTAACTTTATTAGGGCTAGGGCTGCCAAGGATGGATTGGCCTCTGCTGAATGTTGTATTCTCCTCAAAAGAGCCTTTGCTGGTCACTCTGGAAGACAGTCCAGGCAGCTGATGGACCCCAGATACCAACCCAAACAGAAGGCCCTTTGCTAGTTTGTAATAATAGTGGCTTTTGTCCAGAACTGTCTTAAACAGATTACCAGACTTTCCCACGAAGGGCGGAACGTTCTTGCAAAGTCTTGAGGGGTCTGTCCTTACCCTTTAGCAAAAAACCCTGAACACAGAGGCCCTCTGGACACTTAACCAGTTTTTGTCAGTTCTCTGTTGAAATGAAATGTGATTTATGGAAGAAAACATAAAGATGTATTTGTGGGCAGATTTTTCTTTAATGTTTTAAACAATCTTGTCCAGCCCAATAAGTTTTCCCAGGTGGTTCCAGTTGCAAAAACACTGTGGGGTTAACTATTGCAAATATGTTAGTCACCAAAACAAAGGAATGACAACAACTACCTGTTGGGCTTGTATGGTGATTCTTGGATGTCAGCATATCTTAAAGGAGAAAGCACGTTTGTTGTCCAGAATCTTGAAGCCCAAAACTTTTCTGTTTGAGATCAGGGTTTCCTAAATGCTGCTGCCAGATTTGAGCTCCATCCAGTTACACAGTGGTGCAAACTTGATCCAGATCGGGTAGGAGCATGTAACTTTATTTCTGTCAAACTAGAGAATGTGTTGTGATATTTATGCTAATTGTGGGAGGACAGGCTGTGGCTCCTCAGCATCATAAAGTCTTCTCTAGGACAGATGTCTCCTGAAAACATTTTGGGTAAGTTGGAATGCTGTAATGACTTTGCGCTGCTTCCACGCGCTGTCACATGTCTGCAGTGATTTTGATGTGGTAGAAAGAGCCCAGAGTGCACTTAGCTCTGGCTCTAGAATGTGTCTTTTAGCCTTTATTAGAAATATTTGTCCACTCTTCAATCCGAAAGCTGACAGGTGAGCCCACGAGTGCCCCGGTGCTCCGTTCAGTGGCACCTCACTGTGGTTGCTCTGTGGTGCCCTCCCCGTTTCACTCTTCAGCTCCCCGTGTGTCTCATCACGTGGTGCAGCAAGGGTTAACACGTGTCCTCCCTGCCTCTTCCCAGGTCACCAAAATGGTCAAGACGGTCACCACCAGGACGGTGCGCCAGGTGCCGCTGGGCCCGGACGGGCTGCCCGCCATGGACGGCTCGTCGCCCATGGGCAGCTACACGGACTCCATCGACAGGAGGTACCTCAAGAACGGCGAGCGCTACATCACCCCCCAGGCCTCCTCCACGCTCACCAGGTCCTACAACAGCTACAACGACTCCTACCCCGAGAGCCACGAGGGCCAGTACCGCCCGTACCTCGGCCACGACGGCTACGGGGACCTCTCCGACAGCTACGGCAGCTTGTCCCGCGGCGTCGGCTACCGGCCCCGCTACGCCTACGTGCCGGGGAGCGCCTACCGGCCCGACGATGGCAGCTTCACTTTGCCGAGCAGGAGGGACAACTACGGTCCCGTGGCCCAGCCTCAGGTGCCCGTGGGCAGCAGCGCTGACCTGAACCGCTCCCAGCCCGAGCGCTTCCAGCCGGAGCCCTACGGACTGGAGGACGACAACCGCAGCCTGGGAGTGGATGATGAAGGCTATGAACTGGATCCTGATTACTCCACTGTGAACAGGAGGACGTCTGCAGGTGTGCCAGAGAGAGGGAGACCTCACAAAGGAAGGTAAAACCCCTTTGTTCCTCGCAGTGCTAACCTGCAGCTGTTTGGCTTATTCGATCACGTGCGTTCAAAGTGTTACTGATCTGGTAAGTTCTGGAGTTATGTGACAGAAAAACAAGTTGCCCGTATCATTAGCCCATAAATGACTGCAAAACACACATGAAGTACAAAAGAGAGTGAGAGTAGGGCTCAGGAACCCTCTCACTGTGTTTCTGGGCTGCTTAGTTCAGGTTGATTTTAGGAAAAAGGACAATCTTGTACAAGGGGACTAAGTTAATTTTTTTCTTTTCTTAAAAAAGACTTGTGACTGCATTGTGTTGTCCTGGAGCCATCCCACACTAGCAAGGTGAAAAGAGGGATTTGTGATCTGTGAGACTTCTGGCAGGTGTGGCTGTGTGCATATGTGTGAAACAAAAATGATGAACAGCTGGCTGGGCTTGCAGACGAGCTGATACCTGCTGCTGAAGGGGTGCCTTGCTGTGTTAAGGCTGTCTTGGGAGGTGTTGGGCAGCCTCAGCCCCTGATCCTGTGCTAACCACACACCCTCACTGCATGACCAGGTTGTGCAGAACCTCACAGATCTTTTTTTTTGTCCTGTGCCTCTATAAAGACGAGATAAGAGTATCTGTGTTGCATTTAATGTAACTAAAGTGATGAGTCACAAATTACTTCTGGTTCAGCCCAGTTTCTAGGGGATGTTCTATTTTATGCCATGTTTTTTGATATTAGTTGTTTATGCTGGGTTCACAGATATCTGCTCCTGCATTTGAGGAAAAGAATCCAAGACCCCACAAGCTCAGGGAAAGAGTCGTGTTACTCAGCCAAAAGTCATCTTGTATGGACCTGAAAAACTTGTAATGCTTTGTTTTCCAAGGGGTGTACAAATTCTACCTGTGCCTGCATGAAGTCATGTCCTCGTGGTTCATGTTTTGATATAGATTTAGTTCTCATTCTTTTCCTTTTAATTTAGAGCAGTTGCCAGAGCTGTAAAGAGGGTCTGGATCCACTTGCTCTGTGTGTGTAGACAGTCTTCAGACTTAACCCTTCTGCCCTGAGGCTTTGCTGGGTTGGCCGTGGTGGTCAGTGGGGCTGTGGAGGCCTTTCTGCTCTCCTGGAGTGCTCGTGCTTGGAGGTGTTGCCTCATTCGTGCTTTCATAGCTTTATCTTCCTTCCTGTGTCCAGACGTTCATTTTAAAGCTAAACAGAATCAAACACTTGGAAGTTGTCTCTATATTTAAAAAAGAAAAAAAAAAAGAAGGCAAAAACACAGTGCAAAGGTGTCAGGGTATCTCCCAGAGCAGCCTTTCAGTCCCCCTGGGATGTCTTTGACCTTGCAAGCTTTGCCACCAGTGGAACCACATCTGTGTTTTACGGGGCTGAAGGGAACATCTGCACCCAGTGGGTGCCAAAATACTGAGCAATCTATCAGACTTGAATTGGTGCTCCTCTGCCACTAAACAAGTTTACATTTCTCATTTAAAAACAGTCAGGTATCAATGATTTTAAATTTTTATTAAAATTTTTCAAACTGTATGCAAGATGAATAATTAAAAGTATTCTTAGAACCTACTCATTTGCATTTTAAAAGTTTTTTGGTGTTTTTCAACATCCCTTTGATTTATTGTTGCACTTTGGATAGGACCAATTCACAATTTTTCTATTACATTTCTTTTGTTGTGTTTTTTTCCTCATATTTAATATGATCAAGAGGCTTTGACAAATAATTAGCCTGACTGTGGCAGCAAACTTTAGCTGTTGAGAACATAAGAAGATTCTATGAGGGCCTCTTCATAAGTAGTTACTTTTTGACATTTCAAAGAAATACTTGAACAATTCAATAAACCTGCATTTCAGATATGCTACTGATCTGCAAGAAACTGAAGACTACAAATAGTGCTTTGTACTGGATGAGGGTAATTACTAACTTATTATTCCTCTCTAGTTTTTTTTAAAGTAAGTTATTCCTGTGAAAATGATTGACTGAATGTGATAAATCGGTGGCATTTCTGGTTTCCAAAGTTTGTGTGTGCAGAGCAGGTTTAGGAACAGCCCTGGTAGATGTTCTGCACTGCACCAGCTCTCAGCTTGGGCACCTCATCGTGTCACAGATGGAATTCTCGCGCTGACCCACCCGCTGAGTTCTCTCTCCTTTCCTTCCCAGTAGCTGCTGCCCCATTTGTTAATGGTTTAAAGGCAGAAGAAGAACCTTTCCTGTGAGTTCCCAGGCTGGAGCTGTTCTGGGTGAGGGGACTGAGTGCAGGTTTCTCCTCTGAGTCGGTGGCAGTGAGTGGGACTCCCTGTGAGAGGAGGAGACAGCTGTGTCTGGGGGGATCCTGCTCAGGGGGATGACAAGCACAGATTGTTCTTCCCATGCCTTGGCTGCTCCATTGGATCACAGAGATAAATAAACACCTATTGCACTTCCCCTCTGTCATCACCAGCCTCATAAGCTACTTATGTTTAGTTTTCAGTTGGGGAAAAATGTGCCTCCTCACAAACATCTACAAATCCAGAGAAATGCACAAAGACAGATATTCCCTCTGTTGGCTCTTCTGTGCTTGTGCCTGGGTTTCTTTCTTGTTTTCTTTTATACTGAGTCTCTGATGTGAGATATATTAATTTCTGCAAGAGTACCTGGTACTTAATGTTCTTTCTCTCAGCCTGTGCTCTGGTTTGGTGTAAGTCAGGCTGCATAATAAATTGAGGGAGAGAAAGGCATTTGGGGTGTATAATACTGATTTAATACTACTCAAGTTTACTTATGAGGGTAATTACACATCTTTAATTGGGTTTATTACCTTTTTTTCTTCATTTGATGGGTTGCATTTATTATATTAGGAGGTGTTTTGCTATAGCAGTCTTCCAGTGTTGCTAGATCTGTTCCATACAGTCCTTTTCGAAAGAGAAACAGGAAGTACTGGATATCTTTTATTTGCAAAGGGCATCCCTACTATTATTTGAATATTTCTTGATTATTAAATTGAAGTTAACACAGATGAACTGGGAAAAAATGCTAAGTCATAATTCATCTTGTTTATTTAAATTATCTTCTGTTCAGCTTTTCCTTGCCTCTGTGGTAATTCCTTTCCAGAGTGGATCACTGCAGTTTGCACTTGCAGACTCTGGAGCAGCTATTGCCAGTGTTACTGTTCCAGACTGGACAGGATATAAATTTTTTATGTTGACTAAATCAACAACAAAACACTTTTCTGCTGTTAAATTTTCCATGTCAGAAACCTGATCTAAGAGACTGAAACTACATTTCGTGGTCATTTCATGGTCCAAATTATTATTACCATGAAATGGGCCAGATTTTCGATTAAATAACTACAACAGTAGGTCTTTCCTGTTTGTGTTGTGTATAGACAGTGTGAGAATACTGGAGTTACGTTCATGTCAGTCTCCTTCTGATGTCTTTTTTGGAATCCCAGATATAAAGGCCTGTATTTGTAGGTAAACTGTCAGTCAGCACTTCTGTCCTAAGCCCACTCATTCCAAGTGTGTGTGGGCAGCACTGGGATGGGCCATTATGGGCCAGGAGCTGTGGACATACCTGGGCAGAACAGGGCAAAGCAAACACCGTGGACATTTTGAAAAATACCTGGGTTTTTTCTGAGCCTCTGCCTTAGGTGAATTTGCTCTCAGTCTGTTCCTCTCTGGTGGCAGAAGGCTGGTGTGGCAGTTCAGTGTGGCAGGAGGTGACCTGAGTCAGCTCAGCCCTTGGCAGTTTTTAGGTGGTTCCAGTCCAGTGGATTTTGGTGTTTTAACCATGTGTTCCATAATTCAGACTTGTCTCAGCAGAGGATTCACTCCCATTTTGGATCCTCTTGTGTCTCCTCTCAGGGGACAGAGCCTGGCAAAAGCAGAACCTCAGTCTTGCAGGGTCTTCACGTTTCCTCTTCAGTGTTTGGCACAAAGTTCCCAACTGAACTCTCAGGCCTTTCTGGTCTTTTATCCAAAGCAGACGCCAGCTGCAAACTGTGGGGAATGTAACACATACTGTATAAATTGTTGAGGATTAAATGTTTAAATCCCTCACCTGTTTACTCAGATGTGCCTGTGTTGAAGCCACGAGGAAGATGATAAATGCACAAGCTCTTTCCCCGTTTTTATCTGTGCTGGAATACGTTTTGATCAGTGCCCTGAGACAGGTGATTAGTGAGACCCGTGCCATCCTGAGAACTCAGCTGCCTGGCTCAGACAGATGGAAGGCAAGCTGCCTGCAGTCAGCCAGTCTGGCACAGTACCAGACTCCTCAGTCCCGGGAGTAAAGAGCTCTTGGCCTCCTGAGAACCAACGACTGGATCTGCTGCAGCTCTTGTTGCTCCTGTTCTGCATCGTGGCTTTTCCTTCCCAGCACAGCTGCTGCTGAAAGTGAAAAGTGGTGTTTGGCCTGCACCAGTCTGACTCAAAAAGATGATTTCTTTACTCTCCTTGTGTGTAAATGTGTTGGTGCTCAGGGTGTTGTGTTTAACTCCCTGATAGACATGTGCTTTTGACTTCTCTGTTGGCCAGTCCACCCTTCCTGTCCTTGGAGCCCCTGCTCCAGGAGAGGACGTGGGGGTCTGTGGTACTTCTGCCTTGTGCTGCCTCAGCAGTTGTTTTGCTCCTTTCAGACGATCTGTTTTGGTAAACTCCTTCCCTTCAATGCTGTTCAACAGTGGCAAAACTGATATTATACAAGGGGAAGCTTTGAATATTTCAGCATTCTTTTTCTTTAATTGCAGTATGGTTTGTTTGTGGTTGGTTTTGTTTGGTTGGGTTTTTCCCCCTGTTTTTTTTTTAACCTTCTTCAGCCTTGATCTGTGTTCAGTCATGTGACTCTGAATTGATGTGATAATTGCCCTCACTGGGCTTTCTTGTGCAGCTCTTAAGTCATACCAGGATCTCAGAGTTTCTAGATAATGATTGGGGTCTTCAAGGGTCAAGTGTTCAGGTGTTTTCTTTGCTGCCTTGTGCAGTCGTGGAGTTTTGTTACGGTGCATTAACCAGCGGCTCTTGACACTGTTTCATCCTCACAGGTGTGTTGGACCTGACCTGTGTGGGCTTCCTTCAGCAGTTGTGTTTTTTGAATTCATCCTTTCTCTACAGGTACTTGAGAGCTGCTGTCTTGTTTCAAAGTAGCTGTCTTTGTGTGCTGAGATGGGGGTGTTAGATGTGCGATCTCTTTTTTCTCTGAGGAGATGGTCCAGCAGCAGCAGGTTGGGGTTGGCAGGAACAGTTAGAGGTGAATGGTTCATGTAGGGATGGGGCTGTATGAAAACACCAGCACCATGTTATGTGGTGCTCTCTCTTCTGTCATGACAGCATTGCAATTTAAAGTCCTAACTGAAGTTTTATTTTGGCAAATGTAATGAAACCAAGGAGTTTCGTGTGGCACAGGAAGAGGAAACAGAGTGAGGAAGATGGGCCCATCTGTGTGGTTCTGTTTGGAGGGCTTTATGGAAATAAAGCAAACAAACTGCATCCCAAGACAGTAATTATCTTTGTGTATTTGCACAGATGAGAGGAACAGAGAGACTTAATTGTGCAGGTGTAATTGAGGTGGTGCACAGTTATCTTGTGGCAGCTCACAGGACTGAGACATGCTGAATTGCAGGTTACCAAGTCCAGAAAGCAACAGCTGTGCAGAGGGCAATTATTAAAATTAATCTTCTGCTACTTTTCTTTTGTGCAATCAATAAGAACTCTTAACATGAGGATGAATTTGAGAAATGAGATTTTGTTTTAGTTTTAATGGTGGTTATCACAAATTTGCATTTGTGAAAATAGAATTTTGCTTGAGGAGTAGCTAAAAAGTTTTGTTAATCCTTCTGCCCTGTGCACATGCATAAAAGTAAATCTTTTCAATGTTGTTTCTTTCTTCTTGGAACGATGGAAACAGCTTTGTACTCTAACAGAAAATAGGACTGTCCAGGCAGTGTAAATTACTGTGTAGAGCAACTACTGAATTATACATACACAAATACTGCATTGATAAAAGGATTTCTTCAGATTCGTTCTGGGGTTTGGATACTTGCCCATTTGTATCCTTTCATTCAGTTTATGGTCTAGAACAGCAATTAAAGCAACTTAAAGTCAAGAGAGGCACTTTTAACATTAAAAACGTTAATTGTTCAAGGCTAAGTTCAGCCTCCACCTCCGGTTGCTCCTCTCCCCAGAGCCTGGTTTAATTAGCAGTCCCTTTGGGATAACAGCACGCTCCATTTTCTTTCTGAGTTCTGGTAGTCTGTGCTTGAGCATGACATCAGAAATGGTTCAATAACATCACTTAGTGCTTCAGATGAAAGATTTTAAGAATCATTTTGTAGCAGTTAAAACCACTTGCTTGACTGTGAGAATGGCAATACTGGGACAGTAATGAACCCGTCCAGGAAAAACCAGTAAGGTAAAAGGGTGCTGCTGGTTTGACAAAAAGTTACACCTGAGAAGTTGGTTTATGGTAACATTGATTAAGAAGAGTGTTGGAGTACACTGATGTGAGCATCAACACTGAAGTGTACTGGAACTTCTCACATGTGCTGAAAAGTGTCTGTGGTCTCTGCCCAGACCTTGAATGCCTTTAATTAGAGTTTGGTTTGTTTCAGAAGTAGCAGCATTAATGAAGATCAGTGTTTCCTACTGAATGTAATCCAGCTCCGCTGTAATTGTTTTGCTAAGTGACCAAAATGAAAGCAATCTGTTTGATGGCTTGCAGTTCCTGTCATCGTTTCATTGCCAGCCAAACAAACACTGTGCTGGAGTCCCATCACTGCCGAGAACTCCACTATGGTTAATTTTCAAGTTACTACAAATAAATTATTGGAAATTGTAAACACGCTGCCCCTGATGATGTTTGTGATACTGAAAGGTTTGCTCACGGCTGAAATCACTGTGCTGCCTCAGAGTTACAGCTGTTGAAATGTGCCTTTTTCCTTTCTTTCCCCCCTTCCTTTATCTGGGGCCGTTGTTTCTCGCAGGGGCTACGAGGACCCCATGGAGCCGGAGATGGTGGAGGAGAGGATCCCGTACCTGCACGGCGGCTACGCGGCGCCGCTGGCCCAGCCCGAGCGGGGCAGCATGGCCAGCATCGACCGCCTGGGCAAGCGCTCCCCCTCCATCGACAGCATCCGCAAGGACCCCCGCTGGAGGGACCCCGACCTGCCCGAGGTCATCGCCATGCTCAGCCACCCCATCGACCCCGTCAAGTCCAACGCCGCGGCCTACCTGCAGCACCTGTGCTACGAGAACGACAAGATCAAGAAGGACGTCAGGCACCTCAAGGGGATCCCCATCCTGGTGGGCCTGCTGGACCATCCCAAGCCTGAGGTGCACCGCAAGGCCTGCGGGGCTCTCCGGAACATCTCCTACGGGAAGGACAACGAGAACAAAGTGGCCATAAAGAACTGTGATGGGATCCCCGCACTGATCAGACTGCTGCGAAAAACAAACGACATGGAAGTCAGAGAGCTAATTACAGGTCGGTGTCTGTGTTGTCTTTAATGAATTAGTCTTTAGAACAGTCCTTCCAGCTCAGGAGCCAGAATCTCTGGAGATGAGAGCATTGAGGGGGAATTTAGCTCCCTGGCTGCAGCTGTTTCCTCAGCTGCACCACGTCCGCGGTGCGGGAGCACCGAAGGCACACGTGGCTGTCAGGAGAGGATTGAGATTGTCTGTGCATGTGGGGCACTTGGCTTTCCTGGCTGCTGAGAGATGGATGATGCTTTCTTGGATGTAGCATGCAGCTGCGTGGGGTTGAGTTACTGGAGCCTAAATGAGTTATAGCAGCTTCATTGGCAGGTAATTTGTAGTGCACTTGCCCTCAGCGTGGTGTAATCATGAGGTAAGATATGCTAATCTAAATCTTTCCTTGTTAATCTCTTACAAAACAGTCCTGCTGCTATGTCCCTGCTCTTTCATATTTATGGAACAGTCAGTCTCCTCAGGAACACTTCCAGCCTGCTGCTGGGGACTCTCAGGCTGTATATAAAGTTGCAGCACTTCTGGGCTGGAAAACTCAGATTTTGGGGAGTGTAGGGCCTGCTTTTGAGATGCTCTGGATGGGGGTTGGTTTGTTGCAATGATGGGAAAATGGAGAATTACGTTTTAGGTTACTGAATTCATGCACACTTTGCAGGGAGTTTTCAAACACTTATAACTCCATTATTTAACCTGTTTTTATTTGAACTTAGTCTTGGACGTTGTCCAAAAAGAGTAATAAAGTATATGCCAAGTTTCAAAGTTCAGCCATTAAGTGGAAAAGGGTGGAAAAGTATGTCAGCTCATAAAGTAAGGAGAAAGATATTGTTCTTCAGTCTCCCATAAATCATGAGGAGTGAAATGGATTTCCCTTTCTCTTCTCAGCAGCCACAGGGGATGTTTGGATGGAGACCAGAGCAGTTCCAATGACTTTCAGTGCCAGAATAGAATTTCTCAGAAACCTTGTGAGGGTGAAAATGGGTCTGGGGCTGAAACTGTTTACTGCCTTATCAGTGTTGGATTCTGCAGGCAGACCTTATTACAAACATGGATTAAGCCATTAGAAGTAATTCTGTAATCTCTGCAAAAAATTATAGTAGCTCTCCAAGTTTTTACTGGTAGTCATAATTCTCTGAGATGAGCAGTGGCCTTGGGTGTTCCATCTGTTCTTCCCCAGCCATTACAGGATATTTAGCAAACTAGGTCTAAATATATAGTGTTGAAACTAGCAGGGATATTTTTCCAGTGAGCTGGCAAAGGAGAGCTGTCTCTTGTCAGAGAACCTCCAAGTAGCACATGCTGGCTGTGCTTTGAGAGCTGGCTGTGCTCTGCCTTGTAACACGGGAACTCTGCAGGTAGTATTTATATTCCATTTGTTGTGCTCATTTAGTATGATGGCAGACTGAAATTTATTTATTTTTTTAAATAAAGAATATCTGTTTATCTACTGTTCTAGTTTAATCAAAACTCATTTCTGGAGTACTGAGAAGCAATAAATTTATTTCCTTATATTCAAGAAAGGTGAAGCCAGTCTATAATTTACTCTGAAGGAATATCATTATAATGCTAAGTGGTAATCAGTCACTTCTGAGATGACAAAAACAAACTGGATGTTTTTCCTTTTCACTATAAATGACGATTGCTTTGATTTCCAGTTGATTAATTAGCTTTACAGTTCAAATGCATTTTATTTGGCAGTAGTTCTTGCTAATTAAATGCAGTAGTTTTATTCCACTTTGCTTTTTGTTATTTAGAGCTCTTTATTTCCTCTTACTGGAAAACACTAGGAATACTAAGGGCATTAACCTAAACAGATGTCCAGTAACAGATGATGTGCATTTAATCTCCACCTAACCAGGAATGCTTTCATTGCACCTCTAAAACTATCTCAGCAGATCTGGTGTGAGCCATTCAAGCAGCAGCACGGGAGAGGAGTATCCCAGCAATGCCTCTGTGGCTGCTGCTGCTGCACTGGCAGTCGTGTTCAAAGCTCTGGCTGATAATGTGCAATTGTCCACTCGTAAAATGAGCTCCAGAAGTCAGGAGGGAGAAACAAGAGCCAGCCTGAGGTGCAGAGGGAGCGTTCAGGCAGGGCTGCTACAAAAGGCCTGTGTTGTGCAGCCTCAGGAATTCCGAGCTCAGTTCTGCTGTTCTCCTGGAAGCAATCTCAGCTTCCTATCTTGGGTGCTTTTCCCTAGTGTTAAACCCAAGCCTGCCTTTGCCACCAAAGTTTTTCATTCTGTCTGGAGTGAAATCTCTGGGGACTCCACCAGCAATGCAATGAAAAGAGAAGGGAACACAACAGCATCCAGAGTTTGCTTGTTTATTGCTTTTAACAGATTGAAGTTCACTGTGACACATTGACTTTTCTGTGGTTTAATATTTCTTTAACTCAATACTGGCTGCTTTTCAACAGCTGAACAGTAATCATCAGCTCGTCCCAGATGTGGATAAATGATAAAATAATCCTACTTTCCAAAGAGACTTAAGTATCTTAAAGAAGTTTAAATAATTCAGTTGTCTGAATTCAAGAGCACTGCAGGCTTGCAGTTTTGGTTCTCTGGGTGTGGCACACTGCCTGCCTGCAGGACAGGAGGTCCCTGGCAGCACGTGGGACACACTGTTTGGAGTGGCTGTTTTCTGGCAAGAGACAGCACCATTCCCATCTAATTGGAGTCAGTCCTTGGCTTTAGTCCAGCTCTGTGGCCTCTCCTTGCTTGGGCTCTGCTGCAGCTCCACAGCTGTCCAGAGCAGGATGGATCTGCCTCCAGCTGGGTCTGGCACTGGATTCCTGGAGGGGGGAAAAGCCACCCCAGTGTGTTACAAACAGCTCAGAGGTGGATGCAGATCAGGGGAGCGTGAGGGAGGAATCAGATGTGTCATTTCAGTGCTGAACAGGTGAGGCTTGTTGGGTCAGGAGTGTGTTCACTTGACCCATCCCCAGGATATCTGTTTTTGGAGAACACAAATTAGACAACAGTATTGACATGGAATTTTGGAAGCAGGCTGTGTACTACACACCACTACTGCCAGACTAAGCCAGTCTGTAGCTTCTTTCTGTCAGGTAGCACTGGGTTTAGAAGAATCTGAAAAACTTCTCTGCTTAGTGCCAGCTTTGTTTTACCAGATGTTCTCAATATACCTGCAAACAGCACTAAAACATGATGTCCCTCATCTGTGGAGTGTGTAAAAAATACCTTCAAAACTCAAGATACATTCACAAAATACCACAGATCTCACTTTTCTTTCTTTTTAAAGTGTGGAGTTGCAAAATGTTTCCCATCTATTGCATTGAGAAAAGCTTGATTTAACTGTTAGGGTGTCCATAAATAAATCATGAGTGGAGTTGTGTTGAGAAATATTCCATGAATTTCTTACTTGCATCTCTTTCTAGTCTTGCAGCTGTAGTGCTGAACTCTCAGAGGATCATTTTCTTGAGAAACAGAGAAATGAGGATTAGGGTGATAAGGAATTAAATCTGTTCTGATTGGGAAAGCTACAAAAGTTTTATCCTGAGTGATAAGGTTTTTGTAGAGGAAATGTTCCCATCAGATATGCAAGACCAAAATTCTATTACATTCTTTGAAAAGCAATCAGAAGTTGGTCACTTTAATGAATAATTTTGTTCTTCGTGAGAACATTGGAGTAATTTTGTTGTTTAATGACATTGCACTGATTTTAAGTGGTGCAGGACGTGATTTTCCCGCTGCCAAATTGTCTGTAATTGAAAAATGATTGACCTTCAAAATACTCTGCAGATGAAATATTTTGCTGTGATGCTTGAGTGGTGACTGGCAGATGGATGAGCGGGCTCAGAATTCCCGGGCACGGGGTGTTGGGATCCTGTTGGCTGCTCCCATGTTGAGGTTCTCAACCTGAGCCCCCCTGAGGGTGCAGAGCTCCAGCCTTTGGGGCTTCCATCCCAACGAGTCTGTCAAACAAATGCCTTCAGGCCCAACGTGCAGCAGGTGCTCAGGGAATATACTGCAGAGTGCTTTATTTTCCTACGTGATAAACTCTCCAGTGTGGACCACAGGAAAGGAATGAACGGCTTCTGGTTTCTTGGTGACATTGGATTTTTCCAAATAAGGGTTCCCCCTGGGTTTCAGAATAGCATGTGTATATTCTGCACAATTTCTTTAGAAATCTTTCCCCAACTCCAAGGAGGCAGAGTTTTAGGAAATTAAGGCTGTAGCCCTAATCACTTAATATTACATGAGTTATGTTTAGAGTATTTTGTTATAAATTTTTACAGTAATCAGTGCTTTTGAAATAAAAACTGTTGTCCCTGGTTAATATGTTGAAAATTCAGGGATATTGGTTGTAGTTGGAAATAGGTGAGCATATTACAAATAGTATTTATGAATAAAATATCATGACTGTGATCATCATCTGAAAAGCAATAGTTCATCCTTGTCTAGTCCTGAAACTCCTACAGTCTGTGGTCCAAAAGGCCAATGCTTTCAGTGAAAGAGCCCAGAAAATTGAGATAACTTCATTTCCCTTGTGCTGCTGTGTTAGTGACATGACTTCTCTGGAGTGCTATTCATTTGAATTGATTAAACTTAGAGTTTTAAAAACAGCGTTTGCAGCTTGTTAGATCATTAGTGTGTTATGCTAATAGAGGCAGGGAATGATTTTTAAAGATGGATGTCAAACTTACAGGGATTTTTCTTTTTCACTTGGATTTTTTCTTATGCTGCAGAATGCTACAGCCTGATCTGAATTTGTTCCCTGACTGTCACTATCCGTGTCTTCCACAGAATTTGTTTTCTCTAGAGCTGAAAGGATGCTGGGATTTAGAGTTCTTGATTTCATAATTTTGAATAAGAAAAATGTCTTGTCAGTGTGTTTATTTTCTGTGTCTTTCTTGTGGAATATTCTCCCCCTGAAGTCAGTCTTGAACCTGAATTTTTAACCACTGCAAATACCAAATGCTCCATTTATGGTCCTGTGAAGGAACCCTGGCATAACCCTCCAGAACCAGGGAATTCTGCACCCCCTGCTCTCTATTTCAATCTAGGTTGGCTCCAGAGATGATTATCCTATATCACTTCCTGGGGTTTATCCATCTTCTTCAGTGCTGGCTGTTCACATTTTGCATTTGAATGTTGAAGTCCTGAGCCAGCCATGCATTTAGGGATTTAATTGTAGTTATCATTTATATATCAGTAAGTCTGATATGCTTAAGGAATTGGTATTTAATAACTAAAGAATGTCTAGTGAAGTATTTAAAATTAATGGGGTAGCTTACACGTCAGGTTTTATAGTCGTATTATAAATATTGACTTGCATTTATTTTTTGCATGATTTATGTTTTTGAGACAGTTTATTATGAGAAGTAGAGGCTTTCTTCAGTAACAGAATGGAGCCAATTAGCCTTTTCTGCTTGGTTTTGGGTTTTTTCTTATTCTCTAACAACTGGTGTTTTGCAGCAACAAAATGGTGATTTATTGTAATGGGTATAAAGAGAAAATTAATTCATATTTTACCTACAGAGTCTTGTTTTAAAGCTAAAAAAGTAGGTTATGAAAATCTCATACAGTGTGTTGTCTCTGAATGGCAAGGGCAGTAGGCCAAAAAGGCATTATTTTTGTATGGTTTTAGAAGAAGACTGAAGGAAACATTCTGGTGTTCATTCTGTCTGCCTCCAAGCTTCTTTATTAGTTAATATGGAATCCCAAGTCTGAACAGGTGCCTGGGTTTTGTAACTCACTTTGGATGGGAGACAAGACAGATTTGCCTCAAAACTGGTGGGTTTTAAAGCTTCAGGAGGTTGAACCCAAAGGCCACACCTTTGTTGTTCTGGTGTTGTGCTGGGAAGGTGTGAGAGGAGGTGCAGGGCTCAGTTTGCTCTGGAATATGCACAAATTCATGGTTGTAGTGACACAGGGAGCCTCAGGTTAATGTTGTATCTGCTGAGGAAGGATTTCCTGCGTGTTCTGTGGAATCCAACTTTTCCATTTGTGTCTCTGAAATTCTGCTAGTCCTCACACTTCTCCTTGGAGAGCAGAAGTGTGCGTCTGGCTGCCTGCAAGTGTTGTTACTGACAGTTCTCAGATGGTGCCAGGCTGGGGCTGTGCAGAAATTGTCTCTGAAGTGAATGTTCTGGTTTAGTCCCACTCTAATGAGGAGTTCTGTCAGGACACTGGTACAGGTCTGCTGGGAAGCTGTATCACTTACCTAACACAGGGTACTTTGTAGTTGTAAAGCTGTTGTTCCATTATGCTGGTTTTGATGTTTGACTTCTGTCTGCTTTGCCTCATAATTGAGGTAAAAATGAAAAGACAGAGGAGTTTTGGTTTTCAGCTTCTTCAAGGAATCATATGCTTGTGGCACCAGGAGGTTTGAACACAGATATTGCCTGTGACAGGAAAATGTGAAAGTAAATAACAGAGAGGAGACTTGAATGAAATATTATGTTGTGCAGAAGATAAGCATAAGATCAATGATCCTCCAGAAATTCATCCCTCTCAGGACTTGCTCAATATATTTGTCTGCTGTACTGGATGAATTTTTACTTGTGGCATAGCTAGACTTTAAAGTGTTACAAAATTTGTGTATAGCAGAAAAATTCTATTAATCTGCAATAGCACATCGCTTTTATGTACTCTGTTTGTAGGGCTTGATGAGTTCAACAATATTCGTGTCTTGATAAAAATGTATCCATGCTTTTGAAAGGTTCTATTTCAGCAGCTGTGGCATTTTCCCTAAGCTAGTGCTGGTCTGGCTCCTCACCAAGTTGTTTTGCCTTTTTGTTTAGTTTTGTGCTTTAACCTTTGAGCGATTCCCTGTGAATTCAGTGATCCTGTTTAATCCAGAGGTTTTTAGTTGTTATTCTTTTGTTATTTAATAATCACTGTTTCTCCTGCAGGCACCCTGTGGAACTTGTCCTCCTACGAGCCCCTGAAGATGGTCATCATCAACCACGGGCTGCAGACGCTGACCAACGAGGTGATCATCCCCCACTCGGGCTGGGAGAGCGAGCCCAACGAGGACTCGAAGCCGCGCGACGCCGAGTGGACGACTGTGTTCAAGAACACCTCGGGCTGCTTACGGTGAGACACCTGGCACTGGGCACCTGGCACTGGGCACCTGGGCACCGGCTCTGGGGCTGCATTTCATTGACAGGAGTCGGATCAGAAGGGAAGGATCCCATGTCCTTGTTTTTGCAGGGATATCCCCGTTCCAGTGCCGCAGCAGCAGTGCCGGGGGGGGTTTGCCTGCCACAGACTCTCTTGTAGGACTCACCAGGGGGGTCTGTGCAGTGGGGTCGGTGTGAGGAGCAGGTTGTGTGTCCAGGTGAGGGGCAGAGGGTTCATGGAGGGCACTGTAGAACACATTGGAGGTGACCAGGTGAGGTTAAACCACCAAGCTGAGGACACAAAAGGCACTTTGCAATGTGAACTGTGCTGCAGGTGCTGGGAATCCCAATGACACTCACTCCAGTGGGGTCAGTGGCTGTTTCTATGAACTTTTAGTACCTTTCCTGCTTCCCTTGATGGTGCTGGTTTTATTTATTTGAAAACTGTGTTTTCAGATAACTCCCTCCTTGAGTTTTAGGTCCTTTCCTATGAAAAGGCATTTTTTGCAGTTGTAAGGGAAGTATTTTCCTGGAATTACACAGACCTTGAAATACTTAGGACCTATGGGAAATTAGAACTACTGACTACTGGATATTCCTTCTACTTTTCCTTGCAAAGGAGCCTTTTCTTGTTAGATACTGTATTTGCATTTCTGAAAGCACCTGGAGAGCAGCACAGTACCTGCTGGAAGCTGGGGTGAGGAGGAGTCTGAAAACCTTGGAAGAACCAGTGTTCCCTGAACAGTGTTGTCTCTCATTTCACTTTGGAGATGAAGCAGTGATGCCCAGTTTAGATTCTTCAGCTTTGTGATGAAGTCAATTAGTTTGAACAAAACTAATAAGGTTTTGGCATCGTACCTGCTGTTGCTCTCAAGTGCACTTCTGTCAGAGTTCTGCTGATTAATGCAGCTTCAGAAGTTGGTTCATTTCTGTTTCTTGTGCTTGTGGTCTCTAAATTGCAATAACTATTCCCCTGAGTAACTTCACAAATGCAGAAAGTAATGAAAAGTGTTCTGAAAGGGCCCATTACTGAAATTATTTGCAGTCCCAGTGGAAGCTGAGGTCCGTTAAGCAGGCTCCAGACATGGGAGGGTTTTACTTACCAGTGTCTCATTTTCTAACGGTGTTCTGCAAGAGGAAATTAGTCATGGTAGGGGAATAAAAGGATTATCCCAATGAATGTGAGATTCTCCAGTAAGTGTAGACAATAAATTCATCATTAGTAGACTAGCCTAATCCACATCATAAAATTTTATTAGTATGTGGATCCACCTGAACTTCTGCATTCCAGGATATCTTTGGCTTTGTTGATTGGTTGTGGGGTTTTGGGTTTTTTTTTTTATTTAACAGTAAGGCACTGGTTTTACAGGAAACACAAAAGCTTTTGCCCCTTTGGACAGTGTATTTCTAAAGTTAATGAAGAGGGGTGTGGAGCATAGTAGGAATGAGATATGTTAGAGAATTTGAACTTCTGATGTTTAAAAGTGGTCCTGATGCACTTAAAACACATCAGGACAGCAGCCAGTGAATTATGAGTGCTGTTGGTACAGGGGACTTGAGTGAGATGAGTGAGTCCAGGACAGGACAGATGCAGGAGCAGGTGGGTAGGAGCTGTCTTCCAGCTGATTCTGCTTCCTGAATATCACATACCTTTTGTAGGGCACTTCCAGATCTGGGCATGTAAATGGACATAGCAAAAGTAATTAACATTAAAACTGTTGGAAATAATTTTGCATTGTTTGTTGAAATCCTCTGCAGCTTATCCTTAAAAGCAGCAGCAAGATGTGCTGGTTAACACCAGCAGAGAATAAATTGTTGCAGCCATCTGTGTGACAGACGTCAGTGTTGAAAACCCCTTTGCCTACACTTCTCTCACTGACACAGTAGCTGCTCTTAGAAATCCAGTTTTCCATGAATGGAGCTTATTGCAGACTGCAGCCTGTTCCCCAGTTTGATATTTAATTGGGAGGTTAGTCCTCCTGGTAGTGTGCCAGCCTCCCTGATCCCCTTTGGAAGCGAGCCTCAGGTGTGGGCTGTGTTGTCTTCCCAAACAACAGAGACTCTCTGAGCTCCTGAGGTTTTGGGTGCCCTTGCAGTTCAGGTATCTAAGCAGCAGACAGGCATTATGCATGCAGGATGGTGTTCCTTTCAGGATCATTTTTTCAGTTAATGAAGTTTATCAACAGATGTGGGCGAGTTTGTTTCAAACTCAGTGATTCACAGCGTGAACTGCCAGTTAATTATTGCTTCCCTTTTTTTTTTAAACACTGCTTACTCATCTTTACTTTGTTCTTAATCTGGGTCTCTCCTTTGATAATGTGGAGCCATGGAAACCCTTATTTCAAAGTGATTAAAAACAAGTAATTAAAAAAAACCCAAACCCCACATTACAATTATTTACCTTTATCTCTGCTTCAAGACCTGATCCATCCCACTTTCCAGTCCTCTGCTGTCAGCAGTACTGTTTTTGCTCTGTGTAGTCTGTAAGTGTCTCTCTCTCCTCACTCTGGGGTTCAGGTCCTGGTTGGTGTGCAGGTGAATTGTATCCTCATGGTCCCCTTGGCTCAAGTGCCTGGGATGGATGAGCAGCTGGAATGACAGCCCAGAGCTGCAGCAGGAATGGGGGGGTGCAGGGAGGTTTCTGCAGCAGGGTCAGTAATTGGGGCCGGTACCTGAGCAGAGATCTGAACTGCACCAGAGCTGGGAATGAACCTGATGAGAGGATGAGAGGCATGATCCATACCCTCTGCCCCTTGGCCAGAGCCAGGGCAGTTCCTGCCTTTGTACAGCCTGAGTTACCCATGTCTGAAGGAACACCGGTCCCTCGGGGATGCTCGAGGCTGATTTTCCTTGTGTGGCCTCAGGACTGGACCTGTCTGAGCTGCCTTTGTCTGGGCATGGCTGAGTGACACTGGACCTCTGGTCATTTGGAAATCAGAGGAGCTGTGCAGTGTGTATCATCAGGAAGGCCATTCATGTGCTCTCTCTTTTGCCATGTTACTGAACTCTGGGATTACCTGGGATCCTTGGCAGGTCCATTCCAAGCTGCCACAGGTAACTCCACATAAACACACAGGGAGAATCAGAGGGAGAAGAGGCAGCTGGTTAAAGTCTGTATTGACTTTGGAGACAGTTTTTACTTGAAGGGCTCCTTCTGAAGTTAAGCCTTTTTGCATGACAGTGTCCATGGTAGGGATCTTTTGAGTCCTGGCTTCATCTGGAATGTGACTCGTGGGTTCTCTCTGCCATCTCACTCTGTACTTGACTTGCTAAAAGCTCTGCTCAAATAAATGTTTTGGGAATGCTGTATTCCTCATTGCAAGCTTGGCAACACATCCAATTTGCAAAGGATGGTCTGGTAATGAAATGTTTTGGATGCTTTTCCTGTAATCTTTACCAAGATTTCATAAGCCAATGCAGGTGATGGTAATTTTGTCTCCATTCTCATCCTGAGATCAGGAAAAAGATGCTTTGTTGCACTGCTGTGTTTTGTTTCTAGGGGCAGACCCAATATGATGAATGAATCTGCAGTATCCATAATCATTTTACTACTGAAAATGGTCATGAGCCTTGTGAGGGATTCTACCTTGGGTGTAATTCTCTAAAATAGAGGTATTCTTACATTCTGTTGAAGCTGATAAAAGAAACATGTATGATAGAAGTATGGAAAGGAACAGTAAAAAACAAAGCAAAGTGAATTTTTGGTTATGAAAAAGTAGGACTGGGGAAGAAGTAAGGAAGACATTTGGTGCTAGGAGGATCATTAAATATGCACAAATGTTCCTTCATTGCATTTACAGGTTTTATGTCTTCACATTGCATTTTATTCTTCTAGGTATGTGTAGAATGTCTGTTCTAGTTAACTGTCCTTTTTTTGTAGTCTTTAAACTCCTGAGTCCCTACTGGGGTTTGCAGTCCAGAAGCATTTGTCTTCAAATTGTACTGCAGTTGAAATAATGTAATGGTTTGGTGCATCTTAACAAAACCAGTTTGTGACCCTTTCTACAGCTTTGACCCAACCATTGAGGTGCTTTGGGAGAAGAGTATGAGCTGAGTTCTTGGGGGAGAGATGGAGCTGTGGCTCATGTGCACCCAGGCAGGGCCAGAGACCTTCACCAAGTCCCCAGGGTTCTCCTCAGGTGTTTCCCTGCTTTCCAAGGGAAGTGCTGGGTCTGTGGGTCAGAGCACTGCTGAAGTCACATCACCTTTTCTGTTTTCTGTGGAGATACCCACCATGATTCCTAGTTCTCTGGAAGCTGCAAGGATTTTAATGGTTTAAAAATTAAATTCAGTCTAGGCTTAATTGCTGTTTTCTGCCTAATTACTTTTAATTCTCCCTTGGATTTTTTCACTTCTGAAGAGGACAGAGTAGAACTTAGTTCCTAAATTGCCAACTTTCTTGCCTCATTCCTGTGCTAAACTGACCTGCTGTCAACAAATGTTAAATGAATTAATTTGCATAGCAAACAGATGCAAAGTGCTCCTTTTTTCCAGGGGTACCATCTGTAGCTGCAGCATTTCTTGTCAGTTCTCCAAGTACACAGAAATCCACATTCACAAACAGCCTCAGGGTTCAGAGCCCTGGCCGTGCTGTGTGAACACAAACAAACTGCACCCACCTGACTTGCCCAGAAAACAGGTATTCTTCAGCTCAGGATTGCACAGAACAGCTTGTCCAACACCAGCTCCTGAGAAGGGAAGGGACAACCTGGTGGCTGGAACTGGAACACGAGACCTGAGAAGTGTGGATTTATTTGCTGTTCTGCGACTGCACTGACATAATTACAGGCAAGATTAATGGTGGAAACCTTTCTGTGGTCTAATTTTTAATGGCCATCTCTCCTTCTGGTTTTGAGACTCAGGCTTCTGAGTGGATCTGGACTTCAGTCACTGATCTTCCCTTTCCTGTCTTTAATGTGGGACTGGCACCTCTGTTTGTGCCTTCCCCTGAAGCTGGTAAATACCAGCAGTTCA